TGCGTGGACCTTCTTTTCTCTCAGTTGTAGTTGCGTATCCAACAGTGTTGCGAACGATGGGTTGTAGGTGTTCCGTCGTGGTGCCCATGGTGTGCCGGAAACTTTGTTCAACAGTGCGAGGTCGTATTTGAAGTCAGGTTGTAGTCTCCGTACTGTTCGTACCTTTTGTACGCCTGATTCCGTTGCGACGTAGTTTTCTCCGGTTTCGGAAACTTTTCCGAGCCAGATGCATTTCTGCATCCGTAGGTCTGCTTTCGGAAGTTTCTTGTGTTGTGGTGGAAGGTAGAGTAGTGTCTCGCCAAATTCGCAGATTGCTCGCTCGTAGTTTCTTCCCCAGCGGCGTTCAAAGCTTGTGTAGCCGTCTGAGTGGATGACGTAGCGATTTACCGTCCATGCTGCATGTCGTACTATCCAAGGTAGTAGACAGTGCTTTGTGGACATCGTCATGCTGTAGTTGCTTTCAACCTGAGCTTTGACGACGCGGATTTGTCCGAGAAGTGTTCTGTGTAGTCGCTCAACGCTTCCTTGACTGTTGCTGCTGTAGGAAGGTGAATGTCGTACACTCATTGCGCCGACTTTTGCTGCTGTAGCTTTTAGAAGTGCGTTGAGTGTGTCTTCGTTGTCGCTTTGTAGTATGCCTTGTGTTCTTCCGCACTCAAAGATGAATGCTTGTAGGTTGTTGACCATGTAGTCCATCATTGATGCTTTGTCTGGAACCAATACTGCCATACACAGTTGTGTAGTAACATCAACTGCTGTCAGTACCGGTGTGGTCTTTGGGTCTTGTTGTGACTTGATGTAGGCAAAGTCTACTTGAATGACAGGTTGTCGTGATTGTTGTTTCTTGTAGTTGTCTTGGCGTCCTTGCCTTGAACGCAAATTGGACACCAGTTTCTGTATGGTAGATGTGTAAGGTTGTGTTCTGCTGTTTGTTGTGGAGTGGGCTGCTGCGGTTGTCGTAGTCCTCTTGCTCTGCGTGCTTCATGATGCTCGTGTTGTTGTTCTTCATCGTGGTTCTCCTGGATGTACTCGTAGTCTTTCTTCACGGTAAACCTTGTTTTTCCTAGCCATTGAAATGGTAGTGCTGCGTTGCCCATGACTGTCCAGTCATCTTTGCGTTGTGAAACTTCTCCAAAGTTGTTGTGAGTGATTGTAGTTCTGTGAGGTTCAAGTGTGTTGATTGGTGGATGTCCTGGTCCATCTAAGAGAGTTGTTCTAAGCGTTGTGTGGTGTCGTATCCAGTGTTCACCTTGTCTTTCCCAGTAGTCTTGGTTGTCCTCCTGTGCTGTGAGTGGTCTGTGTATTGTCTCCTTTGGTTGTGTGGTGTCAAGATTTGTAGACGGTGCTGCTTTGGGTCTCCATATCTTTTGTGGCGCTCGTAGTTGGATCTTTGATCTGGTTGGTGGTGTGTCCATTAGCCGTTGTGGTTGTGAGCTCTGCCTTGTTGGTGTGGTCTTTGATGTTGCTCTGCGTGTAGGTGTTAAGTTATCTTTCTTCTGAATCTGGTTTCTCCAGTCCAGTTGTCACCTTCTAGTCTTCGTTGTAGTTCTTGCTTGGAAAGCTGTGTTGGGTTCTCTTGTAGTTGTTCTTGCTCTTGCCCTTGTCTGTTGATGATGGTTAGTCTCCAATCATCTAGTTCTCCTTCAGGTATTGAGCAGCCGCTGTTGTGTGGTGTGAACAGTGCTTTGCGTGGTCGTTTGTGTACTCTGATGGCGTAGTCACCATCAAGTTTCCAGTAGTCCGTGTTTCCACCAAGGATCTGTCGTAGTCCTTGGTCTGTGTGTGTGAGTGGTGCGATTTGCTCTTGTTGTTGTACTGCTTTCTCTGTAGGTTGAATCACAGCAATGGATTTTCCATTGTCTGTAGTCATTGGGTAGATGTCGAATCCTGTACGGATGTCGATCTTCTCTGCTCGTAGGTAGAAAAGTCCTGAGTGTCTTATGAGGTGCGCTTGTTGTTGTCCATGTGTGATGGTGCAGTGTCGTGGAGTGAAGTCAAGTCCATATCCTCTATCAAGCAGTCTTGATGCGCTGAGGATTGGATACTTCACATCACAAACGTAGTAGGGCATCATGATCCTGAAGTTGTCCTGCTTGTAGGGAACGTACTTGATGCCGTAGACTGGAATCTTCTTGTTGGTAACCGTGTAGAGTTGTGGAACTGATTCTCCACAAGGTCGTAGTGGAGGATCCGGTGCGTAGTCCTTTGGGCAAACATGTGTAGATGCTCCTGAGTCGATCAACAGGTGGTGGTATGACTTGAAGTGTCCTCAATCTTCTTGTTCCTTTGTTGTTGTCTTGCTGCTGCTATGTCGAAGTGTAGCTTTGTGGTGTCTTCTTGTAGGAATTGTTGAAAGCTCTTGCTGTGGTCGTTCCATGATGTTGTGTGTGTTGTTCTCTTGCCAAGTAGTGATTTGGATTTGTGCTTGTGTAGTCGTGATTTTGCTTGTCTGATGTGTCCAATGGTGAGGTGTGACTCGTTGATGCCTCCAATGTAGTTTGCTGTGTCCTCATAGCTGTTGTCATTCCAATCCCAGCTGTTGTCATAGTCGTAGTCGTTCCAGTTCTCCTCCATGTAGTTCACCTCGTGTTGTCCTTCTTCTCCTTCGTAGTACCAGTCCCAAGTGTCGTTCACATCCTGAGGTAGTTCATCATTGTTGTCGTGATCTGCTTGTTCTTGTTCTAGTGGATGTAGTTCTTCTCCTTCTCCTATGTGCCATACCGGCACTCTGCAGTCTTGTGCCCAGTGGCCGGGCTTGCCACATCGATGGCATGTTGTGTAGTTGTTGTTTCCTTTTCCTTTCGATTTGCTGTAGTTTCCTTGGCCTTTGTAGCCTTTGCTTGATCCATATCCTTTGGATCCTGAGTAGCCTTTTCCTTTGCTCTTGTTGTGTCCTCCTTTGTTGTAGTTTCCTTTGCTGCCTTTGTCGAATCCTTTGTAGTGTCCTTTACTCCTGTACTTGCCTTTGCTCTTGCTTCCTTTGTAGCCGCCTTTTCCTTTTCCTTTGCCTTTGTAGCTTCTTCCTTTCCTCCATATGTTGTCAACATCCATTGGTGCAGTTCCTCCATTGTAGTTTGTTCCTACTGCTGAAGTAGATCTAGTGAAGGCTGAAATCGTTTTGTAGTAGTCCAGGATGAGTGCTCTGATCTCGATGTAGTTCGTGATCTGTCCAGCTCGCAGTTGGAGGTGTTGCTGCAGTGCTCCTTTGGTTTTGTTGAGTAGTATTGCTATTTTGATTCCATCTGGTAGTGCTGTTCCATTGTCTTTCTCGTAGCGGTTGATGTCGTATTCCCATTGTAGAAATTGTTCTTCAAACTGCGCTTCGTTGAATGTGGGTTCCAGTAGTTTGGTAAGGTAACCAACGCTCCTTGTTCCTACTGGTAGGCTGAACCTGTTGTGTAGTAGTCGTAGTGTTTCACATCCGTTTGCGTTGTAGCGGTTTTGCCTTACTACTGTAGCTGCTGCTCCCTGACAGATGTTGATGAGGATGTAGTGTAGATCTCTGGAGAGGTCTACTGCTTTGCTTGCTTGTGTAGGGTCGAGTATGTGTGTTCTGATGTCTGTGTCCTCAATCTGTCGTGTAGCCACTTGTGCTAGTTGTAGCACCAGGTCGAAGTCTCGGTCTATGAGGCCGAGGTATGCTTGTAGCTTGAACAGCCATTCTTCATACTGGGAGTAGTCACCAGTGAAGAAGGGTGGTGGCAGTTTGTATCTATGTAGTCTCTGAACGTCGTTGTCTTGTTCTGTTCCTGCTCCCGTAGTCGTGGCTCCTACTGTGTCTGCTGTTGGCCCGTTCTCTGCTCCTGTAGTTTGTTGTGCTGAGGCTGATGCTGCTTCTCCTGACATGTCGTAGTAGTTTGGCATGTAGCTGCTGTTGCTGTGGTTGTAGTACTTACTGCTTACTGGAGCTCCCCTATGTTTAGGATCTCAGCTCCGCTACCACGTTAAAATCGGTTGTTACTTTGCTTACAAGTGCAAGTGCTGTAGTGTTCAAACAAACAGTCAACCAATGTAGTCTGCAGCTGCCAACCTTTTGACTCATGCGGAGTAGTAAGCTCAAGGCCTGCGGTAGTGAACATACATGCAACAAGAGTGCAAAGTGAAGCATGTAGTTTGACAAGAGAGAGAGAGAGAGAGAGAGAGAGAGAGATTTTAAAGAAGAACATCCTCCTGGGAAAGGAAGTTACCTTTCAAGTCCAATTTGAAACAAGAATTCGAATTGTAATCTAGTTGAAATCCCCTTAAAAAAAGGAAACCATACTGAAATTACTAGAAATTACACTAGAATTCTGTCCTTCTTCCTTCCTATCTAAGTTCTGATTAACAGATTGAAACATCCTCATGGGAAAGACAATTCCTGTGAAGTCTTATTTGAAATCTCCGATTTAAGTTTGAATTGAAACTAGAATTATTACTAGATTTGTTTTCCTTGCCAAAGTCCATGTAATCATTCTACTGTTTAAGTAAAGATTGAACAAATCCTCCTAGGAAAGCAAACCATCTTCGAATTAGGAATAGAATTCTAATTAAAACCTAAATGGAAATCCTATTTAGATTCTAAATGAAGCTAGACATTCTAGTAGAATTCCGTCCTTATTAAATGTTAAGTTCAAAATAAAGACACTCCTGAATTGCATTGCTCTAACTGAAAGGAGCTATCTACTAAATCTACTAAATGGAAAGGCTGAGCATTGTCGAAGCAGAGTATTCAGATGGTGATTGACACCAAAAAGGATGAAGTGTTGTTCAAGCAGAGTTGCCAAATGACTCGAATCAGCTTTGACAGGCGGTGTTGGTGGTGGTGTTGAAGCAGACTAGCCAAATGATGTAGAATCCAAGTATCATTGGAAATGATTGCCTGGGAAAAAAGGGACTTGAAACACCACCTCCCAGGAGGAACCACTCTCGCAAAAAGGGGGTAACCTCACAAAACAACCCAAACGAATTTCGACCAAATGCGCGGAATCCCCACGTCCCGTCCCTAGCGAAGTTTTTCGCGCCTCGCCCGGCTCCCTGCGGGAGGGGCGGTAGACCCGCAGTGTCACCGGGGAGATCTGGGCGCGGAACGGCACGGCGGAACCGCTCTGGAACCTGCCTGGATCCCTGGAAACCACAAAAGGCAACACTTGTCTGATCAATTTGGGCAAATGACCACAATTCACAAGCCGGAAAGAAGGAATCTCCGAGTCATAATTCTTTGCCGAACTTAATACGTCAGAGCAGTAAACTCCGAAAAGAACCTCGAACAAAAATCGGGACCCTAAAGTGGCTGGCGTCGTGGTGTCCCTTTCAATACCGACCAAAAGGGGTCCATCATTTGAACAAAACTTCCTTGTGGAACTTCACGCCGGCCCCAAACTCAGCAGATTCACCCCATCTGTTGGGAGAAAAAAACTACCTAGGATTTTGCTGGGTTCAAGGGGCAGTCAGTGCCCTCGAAACATGCCCAAGAGATTGTTTCCGTGAGACGTTTTCGCAAGACGCGAATCCCCCGGCAAAAAAGGTGGTCCCGTTTCGACTTGTCACTGTCAGTCAAGTCATACCATTTCGCACAAAACAACACAAATCCCAGGGCAAGTACGGAACGTAACACGCTCTTTGCTGATCGCTGCGTCAACCTGCAAGCTTTCAGAAACAAGCCCCCCTGCAGTCTTCAAAGTAGCCCAGGAGGACGAGGGAAGATTTGTGTGTGTGTGTGTTTGTTTCTTGAGGGTGTCCTTGTCACCAGCTTGGTCGAAAGGGAAACTGACAGAGCAACCGCCATGTTCAGGGTTCAAGTTTCTCTTTCGACACATACCCACTTCTTTGCTGTGGCGTTCAAAAAGATCGGTTTTCAGCTTGCGCCTTCCTCCTCATCAATGAAGAACTCCACCGGGAGCTGCAGAAGCCCTCTGGCTTGCGATGCGGTGCGGTGTGTGCGTGTGTGTCTTGTTTGTGATGGGTACCCGTTTCTTGACGTTGGCTGGAAGCCTCGTGAATACACGCGCCACAAGAAGGCATCATGTCTGATGAACCTTGATCCAAGCCAAGCACATGGGGGGAGGTCGTGTCAACCAAGCGAAGATTCGATTGAACCTCCGGCCAGCGCTGGAACTTTGGACTTTGAGGATCGAACTTGCTACAACACCACAATGAAAACAGTTGAAGGTTGGGGCCATGACAGAGAAGGAAGTGAAAAGGCCACAAGCTATTCGCTCAAAATAGAAGGAGCGGAATATAAACTATGACCTCCATTGCCGAGTCAAGGGTGAGACAAGATCTATAGCAGGGCTGGCCAGCTGTCGGCCAGCTGTCAAGGCCAAGCTCCCAGGTATGGCGATCCCCGCCGACTGCATCTGCAAAAAGTCCTACTGGGTTCCGGGCTAACCTCAGTTGCCCCTGGTTATAAAGTCCGACCCCCCTTGGTTTGCTTCGGGCGGTTCTACCGCCTCCGCCGGCCCGTCTCCCTCCCGCCTGACGGCCCCTGCGGCGGCAGCTCTGGCAACGGCGGCTTGGGACCCGGCGCCTCTGGAACTGGTCCAACTTGCTGGTTCAATAGGCAAAGAAGGAGGCAATGAAAAACACATTTTCTATGGTTTCCTTGAAGGGAAGCCCGCTCAGCAAGTCGACCCTGGGGATAGGAACTGGCAGCGTCACGCTCCAGTGCAAACTCCGAAGTTTCGCTTTTCGAACTCGGAGATTCAGCCTCATTCCACCCTGAACTTTGTTGGACTGATTCTTCGTTTGTGATTTATTTTCGAACAAGATGGAGCCTTTGGTGGACAGAACTGTGGGGATTTGTTACATCCCCAACCACTTAGGGGGTTCCCCATTGAAACACACAGCCATTTAGAGACAAACCCATGCGCCAGACCCCATGGTGCTTGCAGGCCAGCCTACTTGCTCAAGAACGGCTAGCTTACAGCTACTGACTTGGCAGCATGCAGACCTTGGAAGCTCTCACTCCAATACCAAATCAATCAACAAAAAATGCATCAGTGCGCCAATGAGATTCAAAGCTAGTCATTGATGCAGGCTCCAGGTAATCACCTGAGCCTAGGTTCAGAATCCAAAACCAAGCACAGAATGCAAATGTTGGCGTGCTGGGCAGCCAGAGCAAGGCCGCAGCGGCGGAAGCAACAGTAATAGCAATAGCAAAAAGGGTACATGGGTTTGCCTCCAAATTGGAAAACCGACAAAATGGATGGTGTCCATTCTGGTTTCTCTTTCATCCGTTTGGGAATCATCGTAATAAAAAAGAATAAAAAAAAAGAAAAGAACAACAACAACCACAACACCACGGATGGCTCTAAACCAGATCCTGGGCCTTGAGCGCTGGCAGCACCAAGCCGCTCGGCGTTGTGTCCTGAGTCAAAAAAAGGCCAGCAGCTACTCCTCTGCAGCTTGTCAAGTTTACCAACATGGAACATCAAAACCATCTCAGCCAAGCAATTTGAATGGCCATGCGTCGTTCAAGGGGATGGATAGGCTTCATCTATGGCGGTGAGACGCTAAATCCCCGCAGGTACGCAGGATGGAATCAAGTCAGCTTGTAGCAAGCGAGCAAACCGCCCTCGCCTTCGGGCTCCCAAAACTGGGCGTTCGCTGGCCTGCCTGAGACTGGGCGCCCGGCTGCGGCTTTCTCGGCCGGGGCCTCGCTCGACTTCAACTCCGCGACCTTGGGGCCACGGGCAGGAGCAACGAGCCCCGAGCCCCGAGCCCCGAACCAAGCAACGCCTGCCCCAAGCCGCAGCTATCTCCGAGCACAGCGGCCCGAGCCCCCGAGCCCACGTCTGTCAATCACTTGTCGTGCAGCCCACCCGCCCTGCTCAGCCCAGTCGGCACGTCGGCACTTGCTCAAGCCCACATTGCTCGTGTGCATGGCAGGCAGCTTGCAGCGTTTTGCAATGGCCCGCTCTGGCCAATGGAGCCGAAGCAGCAACTGGTGCCTTCTCTGAATGAATGAGAGAATCCGATTCTTCTTAAGAGGATTCGTCAATTCCTGTGCTTCCTGTGTTTGTTTGCTTGCTATTACTATTTGTGTTTAAAACATGTGCATATATATATATATACATACATATATTTCTTTGTTTGGAGGGGGACAGCCAGATTGATTGTTCCGGGTCAGCATTACAAGATGAACTGCCCGAGCAGACAAGCACAACTTAGTCGCTTTACAACCATAAAACTGTCCAAGGATTCGATATTTGAACCTCCAAGCATGTAACCTGCACGTTGGACTTAGCCGTTGCGCAGATGGAGGTGAAACCAGGCGAGTCTTGTGTGGCCTGGGCATGCATACTGTACAACCCCAACTCAGGCATTTCAGCTTGCCAATAGTCAAGCCTACCGCCCAGTTGGTTAAACCAGAGGGCAACTCTCCTTAAAGCCCTCTGTGTAAGGGCTCAAGGTGGCCGAGCTCCACTCGACGTGTGAACATGTCGCTATCAAATCATAATTCCAGCCTGGCCGGCAAGTCGGCAAAACGCGATTGATGCCAAATGTGCCATCTCCACGAATGAAATACCAAACAAACGAGTTGACAAGGAAGGAAGACAGACAAGGAAGGCAGACAAGGAAGACAGACAGACGAAGGGCGGACGGACAGCCAGCCAGCCAGCTACCAAACAACCAACCAACCAACCAACCAACCAACCAACCAACCAACCAACCAACCAACCAACCAACCAGCCAGCCAGCCAGCCAGCCAGCCAGCCAACCAACCAGCCCACCGGCCAACCGACCACAGCAAACAGAAGGCCATGAAGCTGTCCCGCCTATGCTGGCGCCATCAGACGCTGCAGCTGGTAGGTGCCCAGACCCAAGGCAAAGCCCAGTGCCGCCCAGGGGGAGATACGCTTGGCGTACCACAGGAAGCTGACCTGAGGCAAAACGCACATTGGACGTTAGTCAGCATTAGGAGCCGCTTTTGGTATCCCCTTCAAACGTCGGTTTTTGAGGCGTCCCGTTTTGGTCTGTCATTCTCTTGGAGTTGGTACCCTTTTTGGGGTGCTTCACAAAAAAGACGGCGGGGGAAACTGCACCCCGCTTTGAGACAACCCCAAAGGAGAGCTCGGCCCCAAGCCAAGCCCCTGCACCCCCACCCCCTTTGAAAAAGATCGCTCTCGCGTGCGTTGGGTCCAAGCATGAAAGTGTGTTGAACCTTCGGTCACAAGAAGTTGGGATCGACGCCTTCTCGAGCCCCATGAGCGTGACTCCTGGCCGCCGCGAGGCACGTGCTGACACAGATGGGTGCTTGTATACGGACCAAAGCAACACCGAATCCCAGTTTGAAGGTCCCCCAAAAAAAGGACTCGCCCAAATGGCGACATGAAGCTTGAAATCGATGTAAATATTTATTCCCCTGGAACTGCGCCCAGCCTGCTACACTGCCGACGGCCAGCATGGAGCCACCTGTGCCCGCTTGAAATCCCTCGGAGCCGGGGGGGGGGGGAGCCAAAAGGAACCCACTTCAATGGGTCCCTGCTAGATGAGTTGGTCGAGTTGGTCCAGTCAGTGGCCGGAGTCAGCCCCCACTTGCCATCAAGACAGACACTCGTGAAACAAGTGCCCAAGAACTTAATTCTACACTCACCAACCAACCGCTTTAAACAAAAATCCTCCGGTCACGGCTTCCCTCAAACCCGTGGCTTCGCGTGACGTGATCGCATCCAGTGCTATGCCCAGCGGCCCGTCCCGGCGGAAAGCGCCACCAGCTGCCAGAGCGGATCATCCATTGGCTCATGGAACATCTCGATGGAGGCCTCGAAGGCCACGCGAAAACCGCTCGATGCGAGATGCGCCTCGAGGCGCCTTTTCCTACGGGGAGAAAAAAACGAGTTGAGCTTGTTTCTCAGTGGCCAAGACAGGTACCATGAAAGACTTCCAGGCTGGGTCAAGACTTGCCAGATTCTTGGGACAGATGTCAATTTGCACAAGCCACGTGTATGGCACAGTTGGGAGAAATGGACATGGGCACCAGCTCGAAATGTCCAACGAAAACCATTGGACTCACCTTTGTTTTAAGTCCAAAAAAAACAAACAAAAAGCTTGAAACCAGAAGTAGAGGGAGGCGCTTGAAGGCCTCGCGAACTCGCGAAAGCCGTTTTCGTAAAACCAACCTTTTCCGGCGCCTGCACCAGTGGCACGTTGTCGACCACAGCCGAGCTAACGCCGATCAGTGCGGCCAGCAATATGTCGCTGCCCTTGGTGATGCTTTCCAGCCACTCGGAGTACTGGGCCAAGACCTGGCGGGCGAGCGAGCGAGATATCAGTCATGGCCAATGAATGCCTCGGCTTGGCTCGGCACCCCCAAAGCGATTCGGGTCTCTCAGTGCTTCCCCTTTTCTTGCCAACCCCCAAAAAGGGTACCCAGCAAGATCAACTTACAAAGAAAAGAAGGACAGAGCCCTATCAATCCCAAGCAAAACTGGTGGTTTGAACCATGGATCTCCAATTCCGGAAGCGGATCTCCGAGGAAAAAGCCGAAGCGGCCGTGTCAAGACTGACTGAAGCGTATCAAGACGTGGAGGGAAGAGGATCATGAACATCGGCACACCTGCTCCAGACATCAGAATTCGGGGGCCTACCAGACGTTTCGGAGGTTACCTCAATCAAACTGATAGCCACTCATAGCTGCGCGACATGGAAAGGCCCCATATCTGCGGCGGATTTGGCAAAGTTTTGGGGTTCCTAAAAGAGGGATGGCTCCATAGAGGTCGACTCCTTCGCGGGGAACGGGCTTGCCCTTGCTATTTACTTGCGGGAAATGGGTGTGATATGTTTGAGGGCTGTGAAACACCGAAGGGTTACCCAAAGTTGAAAACCACCCACTTTTTTTGGAAATGTTAGAAGACACGGGTGTTTTCCCAAATCCAGGACCCTTTCAGGTTGGTTTTCCTTTGGTCTGCCTACACCCGCAAGCCGTACCACCGTTCCTCTGGCGCCTTGTTCAAAACCACATAATTCTTGAGGTCGGACATTGCTCTCTCATACCTTTTGCCACCTTCCTACGTGTCTCTCCATTTGTGTTTGTCTCAAAAATGAACCCCAACAAAAGGGTGGTTTCCTTTGGCTGCCACAAGAGCCTCAAAAATGGACCGGCCGATTCCAAGACTTCGGAGCAAACAAAAAAAACGTCCAGGACTCGAGCTCGAGACGGACTTCGACCCCCGGCATCCGCGGACTCCAGCGCGGCCACGCCCAGCAACACGCCGGTGAAGAACCTCGCTCCGCTGAGTTGCGGGTCGATCCGCAACTGACATGCCACGGGATGTGTGTGTTGGTTGACCCCAGGCGTTGGTTTCAAGCGTGTTCTTTGTTGCTGCTTCTCCTTAGGCTGGTTTCAGGGGAAGTCGAAAGAAAAACCCGCCCATTCTGAGGGCCAAACAAATCCCCCCGACTTTTTGGATACGTGGACAAAATGGGAAACCCGGAAACCCTGGTTGGCCTCTTCTTGGTTCCGCCCAAATCCCCCAAATTTGATACACGAAAAAACGGATTCGCTGGTTGGCCTCTTGGTTCTCCCTTACCCGGCAAGGGGTTCGGTACCCACCTCCCCCGTGGCGTGCTCGGCTCTCCGCGGCGAAAACAATTCTCGGCTCCCCACAGCAGGCTGCTGAGGTCCACGAAGTGCAGCGCCGCAGGCACGCCGTGCTTGCCGTGGGCCTGGGGTTCCCTAAAAGACCAGCCAACCAGCCAGCCAACCAACCAGCCAAACCAACAAACCAAACCAAACCAACAAAACAAACAAACCAAAAAAAGAAACAAAACAAAAACAAAGAAACAACGAAACAACCAAACCCAATCAAACCGAACGTAACCGAACCGAACCAAACCAACCAACACACATGGAGCCAAAAAACGGATCCGAAAAGTCTCCCAAACAGCATGGAACCAAAAACTGGGTCTATGCTTGTGAAACATGGAGACCAGAACAGTTGTGGGAGGGTATGTGATACATGAAGGTGGTGGGCAATGAAAGAATGTCACAAGGACCTAATGACTTTGAGCATGCCTCCCGAACTTCCCGGAAGACCCTCTGGAAAGGAAAATGAAAGCCATCTTCCAAGAAAAAGTTTTAAAGTGGCATCCTCCAATTGAGTCTTGGCCTAAGCCTAAGGGAACCCCCCCGGCAAAAGGAGCCTCACACCGTCAAATCTGAGGCAAGCGCTGCAATCGCAGCAACATTTCCCGTCTCCTCATCAGCTTCTTCCGCGGCGAGGTCAGCAATCTCGGACCTGGGTATTGGATTTGTCAAGTTCTATTGATTTGGACCCCCAACGTGAGTCATTCAAATCACAGCATTGCAAGAAGTGCAAAGTCTGTGTAGGGACTTGGACCCTCACAAAGGATTGGTCCTTGGTTCGCTTCAAACTTTTGCACCCCCAAAAGTGGTCGCGCAAATGGACTCGTGGCGCTCCATGGTGCACTCTCGCGCACCACAGACTCCAGTGCGGGCGAGCGACACCAGCCAAAACACCCCCAGCGCCATCATCATGCCCAGGTAGGGCGGCAGCCCGGTGACCTCGCGCCCGGATCGGTCGCTTGCAACGGTCACCGGTGACGCACATCAGTACGTGCCACACATTCAGGAACCACACCCAAAAAAACGGCGGTGGTCCTTTTGTTTCTCACCTATGGAACTGATGGGATTTTTTTGGCGTAAGGGGAAGGGTAGCCAATTTTGAGAGAGAAGCCCTAACGAGGGAATCCAAGGGGTTCCAGACTTTCCGGGGAGTTCCACCAAGTTGGGACCCTGGTTTTCAACCTCACGGAAATCACGGCTCGTCGGAGAGTGCCACGGGGCCATCTTCACAATGGGCACCATGAGGATGCAGCTCACGCCCACCAGCAGGACCATCTTGCTGTTCCAGCTGGCGACCTCAAGCAAAAGCCAAAGCGCGGCGCGCTTTGGTGCGTTTTCATGGCTTCTTGGAGGGGCA